CCATTACTCTGAGCAGTCACTGTTAGGCCCCTGTATGGACAGGGAGGTCAGAGTGGTTCTTACGTGACTGAAAATTTTACAAATTGCATCTAACCCACTTTCATATCTAACATGGGGTTTCCATATTTTTTGTTTATCTGTAGCTTCTGTAATCTAATACTTTGTTTTGAATTTCTGTTCTGGTGCCTGTTTTTTGTTTGCGATCTAATATAATTTTTAAGGGTGTTACCAAATGTTATTGTCTCTATTCCATTCATTTGCAGGCTCCAGAAGGTGAATCTCAACCTGTGACTGAAGTGTACCTCTTCATTTCTACACAGAGAATAAAAGTATTGAATGCAGACACACAGGTATGGGCAGATCAAACCTTGTCAGCATCATAATAATAGTCCTTTGAAATAGACCTTCAACTACCTGCCAAAATCTGACTTTCATGGAGTGCTGGCTCTTATAGTTTCCTCCAAGACTTCCTGGTCAGAAATCTATGCTCAAGAACCACATCATGCATGGAATTAATCAGAGTTGTCTGACAGATTTGGTAAGTATGCTAATTTCAGTTAGCCCAAAAGATAAGAAAGCTTTGTTCACATTATACAGCATTTTAGGCAGTCTAGTACCGTAATATGACAAGTACCAATCATCCCCAGACAAGTCTAAAGTATTTCATTGTGATAAATAATTTGAAGTCCTTAGTCCTTGGTATGTTGTGTATTCAGGCTGAATACCCAAGTCTTTGTGTTCTTTTCCACATTTTCAAAATGTACTGTTTGTTTGGTTGGTTGGTTGGTTTTGAAAGTGAGGCTGTTGGTTCCTCTTGGCACCTCCTTTCATACAAGACGCTTTTTTTCCTTTTTGTAGTGTAAGGTAAAACAAACGTAGGTATTCTTCCCAAGAATGCCAAGACAGTGGAAGGATTAAAAAAAAGGTTTGGTTCAGATGCAAGGATCATTTCTTAGCGATGCTGTGCACTGGGCCTCTGGGGGGGGGTTGGAAGGCAATGCCCTGCCCTCTCTAAGGCTTTTTGCATCTTCTCTCTCTCCTCCCCCACCCTCTCTGGCCCAAGGAGGTCTTGTGCATGTCTGCAAATATGTTATCTCTGTGCATACCAGGGAGATAGCTTGCTCACAACTTCTCCCTGTGACTTTCTCTGAAATGCAGAAGGAAGGAAAAATATCTAACCCATCTGAGAAGGCATTTTACAGTCTTCCTAAGTGAGACTAGTTCTAGGCTGCATTAGCAAGAGGGGCAGCAGCAGGACAAAGGAAATTATTCTTCCCCCTCGTTTTGGCACTTGTGGGACTGCATAAGGGACTACCATGTCCAGTTTGGGGCCCCCCGGTACAAGAAAGACATGGACAAACAGGAGCAAGTCCAGCAAAGGCCACCAACATGATTAGGGCCCTGGCACACATGGCATATGAGGAAAGGCTGAGAGAGCTGGTTTTGTTCAGCCTTAAGAAGAGGAAGGTTTGGGGGAGATCTTATTACTGTCTACAGCTAGCTAGTGGCAGGGTGTAAAGGAGGCAGAGTCAGGCTTCTCAGAGGCACACAGGGTTAGGGTGAGAAGCAACTGGAACAAGTTGGAACAACGGAAATTGCAATTAGATGTGAGGAAATCGTTTTTCATCACGACGGTGGTCAGACACTGGAACAAGGGCCCAGAGAGGTTGTGGGACATATCCAAAACATGACTGGAAAAGGCCGTGAGAAACCAGTTCTAAGTTGGCCCTGCTTTGAGCAGGTGGTTGGACCAGAGACTTCCAGAGGTCCCTTCCAACCTCAATTAAATCTGTGCTGCAGAACACTGCCAGCAGAAACAGCCATCAGATGCAGCAGTTTGCACAGAAGGATGCAAAGAAGGGGACCAGCAACTCTGCTCAGAACAGAATATGCCTCCTCAGCAATGGTGGTGATACTGGTTAGGCTGGACCTCGAATGCTGTGTCCAGTTCTGGGCCCCTCACTACAAGACGGGCATTGCGTTGCTGGAGTGCGTCCAAAGAAGGGCAATGAAGCTGGTGAAGGCTCTGGGGCACAAGTCTTATGAGGAGTGGCTGAGGGAACTGGGGTTGTTTAGTCTGGAGAAAAGGAGGGCCAGGGGAGACCTTATTACTCTCTACAATTACCGGAAAGGAGGTTGTAGATGGGAGGGGGGAGGAGGGGTCGATCTCTTCTCCCACGTAACAAGCAATAGGACAAGAAGAAACGACCTCAAGTTGCACCGGGGGACGTTTAGATTGGATATTAGGAAAAATTTCTTCACTGAAAGAGTGGCCGAGCATTGGAACAGGATGCCCAGGGAAGTGGTGGAATCACTGTCCCTGGAAGTGTTCAAAAAGGTGTAGGTGTAGATGTGGTGCTTAGAGACATGGTTTAGTGGTGGACTTGACAGTGCTCGGTTAATGGTTGGACTCAATGATCTTAGAGGTCTTTTCCAACCTTAATAATTCTATGGTTCTATGATACACCACAGGGCATGGTCCCCAGCAACCATTGGAACAACTGACCCTGTAACATCAGAGGTTTCGACCCAGACAGGGCTCCAGAAGGAGAATGCAACTCTGCAGGGGTGCCTGAGGCCTCTTGCCGAGGCCGGGGCATTGGGGAGACAGTCTTCTGGTCAACAGAAGTTGTGTACTTATTGAGTATCTGTATCGTCCAGTTAAGAAGCTGCAGGAGCAGGTCAAAAGACTGCACAGCATCAGAGATGGCAAGAAAGAGTCTCTGAGACTTTTGTGATGGCAAAGGTTGGGAGTTCGTGACTTCTGCCCGCCAGGGAGAAGGCTCCTGCTCCACCTCAGAATTTGCAATCACAGGACAGAGTCAGTGCCCTCATAGCTGACAAGGGCCTGTGAGCTTTGTCCAACAAAGCACTCAAGCCAGTTGGACACGAGACATGCAGGAAAAACAGGAGGAAGCGGCGAGCAGTAGTAATGGGAGACTCCTGCTGCAGGGAATGGAGATCCCCATCTGCCAACCTGACCTGTCATCTAACAAGGTTTGCTGCTTGCTGGGGGCTTGGATCCAGGATGCTGTCGCAAGAGAGTCGAGGCTTGACAGGTTCTATTACCCCCTGCTACTCTTCCATATGGGCACCAATGACACTGCCAGGGGTGACCTGGAAAGTATCAAGCGTGACTACGTGGCTCTGGGGCCAATGGTCAAGGGCATGGAGGCCCAGGTGATGTTGTCCCCTATCCTGCTGGTGAGGGGTAAGGGCTTGAGGAAGACTGGACAGATCCTGCAGTTCAACGATAGGTTGCAAAGCTGGTGTCAACAACAGGGCTTTAGTTTTTATGACCATGGGACCCTCTTTGAGGATCGAAGAATCCTTGGAAGAGATGGGATCCACCTGAATAATGGGACAAAAACTTTTTTGCCAATAGACTGACCAGCCCAGGGGTAAACTAGGAAGGACAGGAAAGGGTGAGAGTGACCAACAGTCATCCGAGGAAGGGGTGGACCAGGTTGGCAAGCAAAGTGTGTGGGGTAATGGGAACAGAAGGGACCTTGCAATCAACAAAATGGGGCCAAAGGGGGCCCACGCCAAGGGTATCCACATGAAACAGAAAGTGCCTACCAGACAGAACTGGGAAATCATCACAGCTAGATGCCTCCCTGAAGTGTCTGTACACTAATGCACACAACATGGGGAACAAACAGGAGGAATTAGAGTTCTGTGTGCAGTTACAGGCTTATGAACTCTTTGGGATCACGGAGACATGGTGGGAAGGCTCACGTGACTGGAGTGCTGCAGTGGATGCATACAGGCTCTTTAGGAAGGACAGGTCAGGAAGGTGAGGAGGGGGAGTTGCCCTTTATTGTGAGAGAGCAGCAGGAATGCATGGAGCCCTGAGTAGGGATGGGTGATGAGCCAGCTGAGAGCTTATGGGTCACGATTAGGGGGAGACCAATGTGGACAACACTGTGGTGGGTGCCTGCTATAGACTGCCTGATCGGGGAGAAGTAGGTGAGACCTTCTAGAGACAACTGGAAGAAACCTCACGTTCGCAGGCTCTGGTCCTCATAGGGGAATGGAACCACTCCAATATCTGTTGGAGGGACAACGCAAGCAGGCCACAAGCAGTCAAGGAGGTTTCTGACGTGCATAGACGACAATTTCCTGACACTGGTGATTGAGGAGCTGACGTAGAGGTGCTCTCCTCGACCTCATACTTACAAACAAGGAAGAACTGGTCAGGGATGTGAAGGCTGGGGGCAACCTTGGCTGCAGTGACCATGAGATGGCAGAGTTCAGGATCCCGGGAGAAGGCAAACAAGGAATTTAGCAATATCACAACCCTGGAATTCAGAAGAGCAGGCTTTGGCCTGTTCAGGAATACGCATGGAAGCATCCAATGGGAGATGGTCCCGGGGAGAAGAGAGGTCCAAGAGAACTGGCTGATTTTCCAGGATCACTTCCTCCAAGCTTAAGAACAGTCCATCCCAAAGAGCAGGAATTCAAGCAAAGGCAGCAGGAGGACTGCATGGATGAACAAAGAGCTCCTGACTAAACTCAAGCATAGAAAGGAAGCATACAGGTGGTGGAAGCAGGGAAAAGTGACCCAGGAGGAATATAGAGACACTATCCAAGAGTGCGGGGATGGGGTTAGGAGATGAATCTGGTGGGGGACGTGAAAGGCAACAAGAAAGGTTTCTACAGGTACATCAGCAACAAAAGAAAGACTAGGGAAAATGTGGGCCCTATGCTGAATGGGAATGGGGACCTGGTCACAAAGGACATTGAGAAGGCTGAATGCCTTCTTTGCCTTGGTCTTTACTGGTAAGATTTGCCTTCGGGAATCCCATGTCCCTGAAACGAGTGGGAAAGTTCAGGGCAAGGCCAGCTTGCCATCGGCAGAGGAGGATCAGGTTAAGGAATATTTAAACAAACTGGACAAACACAAGTCCATGGGCCCTGATGGGATGCACCCATGAGTGCCAAGGGAGCTGGCTGATGTCATTGCAAGGCCACTCTCGATTATCTTTGGAAGGTCATGGCAACTGGGAGAGGTTCCTGAGGACTGGAGGAAAGCAAATGTCACTCCTATCTTCAAGTAGAGCGAGAACGAGGATCCAGGGAACCACAGGCCTGTTCAGTCTCATCTCGATCTCCGGGAAGGTGATGGAGCAACTAAACCCGGAGACCATTTCCAGGCCCATGAAGGACAAGAAGGTGATCGGGAGTAGCCAGCGTGCATTTATGAAGGGGAACTCATGTCTGACCAACGTGATGGCCTTCTACAATGAGGTGACTGGTTTGGGTGGAGGAGGGGAGAGCAGTGACTGTTGCTTATCTTGACTTTAGTAAGGTTTTCGATACCGTCTCCCATAACATCCTCATAGACAAACGGATGAAGCACTGACTAGATAAGTGGACATTTGGGTGGGCTGGAAACTGTCTGAAGGGACAGACTCAAAGGGTTGTGATCAGCATCACAAAGTCTATCTGGAGGCCGATTAACAGCGGTGTGGCCAAGAGGTTGATGTTGGCTCCAATACTGTTTAACATCTTCATTAATGACCTAGGCGACAGGACAGAGCGTACCCTCCACAAGTTTGTAGATGCTACAAAACTGGGAAGAGTGGCTGATACGCCAGACAAGTGTGCTACCATTCAGAGAGACCCTCAACATTCTGGAGAAATGGGCAGAGAGGAACATCATGAAAAGGATCTGGGGCTCTTAATGGACAACAAGTTGCCCATGAGGCAGCAGTGTACCTTTGTGACAAGGAAGGCCAACCCCCTACTGGGTTGTATTAGCATGAGTGTTCTTGTCATCAAATTGTTTTGATTTGAAAGTCTGAAAAATAATGGAAGTCCAGACTCTGTGTGCTGTTGAACTTTTCAATGAATGCCAACAATCATGTTTTTGTCATCAACAGGTTTAGAGCTAGCTTGAGTAGATATGATACAAACAGTTGGGATTGGGAACCTTTTCCTTACTGGGGCCTGAATTGGACTGCACATGAAAACACAGCTTAGCTCTGTTCCCACATCTCCAGCACACCCCCACACTGTAGACTATTGTCTTCCCACCCTCTTTGCCTCTCCTTCCCCCTAACCTGAACTACACACCAGAGGGTAGTTTCATTCCGCACTGTGACCAGCACCCCTACGCTCCACAGTGCTTCCTGCACTCAGCACTGTTCCACTCTCAGTTTCCTGCACTGCTCCCATCAGCTCTATGCTCATGCCATGTTGCTTTCCACTTGTAAACAATATGTAAATTATTCCAAGTTTACCTTGATCACCTCACAGCAAATTCCACTCTTTTCAGCTGCTTCCTTTCCTGGCACAGAGATCAGAGTTTTCCCTTTACATGCCTTTTTTTTTTTTTTTTTTTTTTCTACCCATCCCTGCCTCTACGCTCAGTAGAAGGTAGTAGAAGCTAGAATCATAGAATCATAGATTGGTTTGGGTTGGAAGGGACCTTTAAAAACCATCTAGTCCAACCCCCCTGCCATGGGCAGGGACGTCTTTCACTTGCTTGCTCAGAGCCCCTTCCAACCTGACTTTGAACACTTCCAACGATGGGACACTGACACCCTACCTACCAACACCCTGCCCCTTGACCATTATCGGCAGCATAGACAGACCACCAACACCTGCCCCTGACTGATATCAGCAGTGTAGGTAAGATGCCACCCGCATTATTCACATATGGTATACTTCTGTGAAATCACAGTGTCGTAAGATACACACAGGTCCCCCCAAAAATGCCATGGCAGTGGAAAGAATCCAAAAAGGGTTCATTCTGTAGACAAGAATGCTAAAAGCTTATAAAGGAAACCCGCACCAGGCTACAAAGGAGCACTGGGGCTGAGAAAGGCATGGCTCCTGTTTATTCTTTGAGTTTTATTATCTGTGCTCACCCCTCTCTGTGCACTGGATGTGAAGCCCTGTGGCATCTGCTGTCTCCTCACATATCAGAGAGCGAGCTTCTGGAATGAAGGGGGGAGGAAACAGCACTGCTTTGAGAAAGTGGTAGGGAAGCCTTTCCGAAGCAAAATAACTGACTCCTCGGTAGCAAAATGTTCCTGGAAAGGGTATTTACTCTTACACACAGTACCACTGGTGGACCCATGGGACAACCCGACTCTTACCCACATTCAAAAGGCATTTGTAAAATTGGCTGTTGCTGCCAGAGGACACAGACAAAAAGTGTCCCTGGCAGTCCACCAGAGCCATGGCATCGCTTATGATCCTGTGTTTGCTATCGGGGATCGAGTGAGTCACCATTATGAACGGGTTGTTGCTCATATTTCCTACTGCCTCAGAAAAGCTTTGTTTTATAGCAAGTTGTCAGATTCCATTACCATTTGGATCACAGGCATCTTGGATCACAACTTCTCTGGGCAACCTGTTCCAATGTCTCACCACCTTCATAATAAAACAAGTTCTTCCTTATATCTAATTTAAACCTACCCTCTCTCAGTTTAAAACGGTTGTCCCCTGCCCCGTCACTACAGGTCTTAGTAAAAAAATCTCCCTCTGTCTTTCTTATAAGCCCCCTTTCTATACTGAAAGGCCACAATAAGGTCTCTCCAGTGCCTTCTCTTCTCCAGGGTGAACAACCCCAACTCTCTCAGCCTTTTTTCAGAGGAGAAGTGTTTCAGCCTTCTGATCCTCTTGGTGGCCCTCCTCTGGACCTGCTCTAATGGGTCCACCTCCTCCTTATATTGGAGCCCCCAGAGCTGGATGCAGCACTCCAGGTGGGGTCTCATGAGGGCATAGTAGAGGGACAGAATCACCTCCCTCGACCTACTGACCACACTGCTTTTGATGCAGCCCAGGACATGGTTGGTTTTCTGGGCTGCAAGCACACATTGCCAATTCACGTCCAATTTCTCATCCAACCAGTATCCCCAAGTCCTTCTCCGCAGGGCTACTCTCAATCCCACCACGCCCCAGTCTGTATTGATACAGGGGTTGCTCCAACCCAGGTGCAAGACCTGACACTTGGCCTCGGTGAACTTTGTGAGGCTAGCACAGGCCTACTCCTCAAGCCTGTCAAGGTCCATCTAGATGGCAGGCATCCCTTCCCTCTAGGGAATCAACTGCACCGCTCAGCTTGGTGTTGTCTGCAAACTTGCCAAGGGTGCTCTGTTGGGGACAGAGTCAAAGCCTTACAGAAGTCCAGGTAGATGATATCCGTAGCTCTTCCCTTGTCCAGTGATGCAGTCCCTCGATTGTAGAAGGCTACTAGATTATTCAGGCGTGATTTGCCCTTGGTGAAACCATGATGGCTTTCTCTAATCACCCCCCTGTCTTCCATGTATTTCAGCATAACTTCCAGGAAGATCTGTTCCATGATCTTACAGGGCATGTAGGTGAGGTTGACTGGTCAGTAGTTCCTGGGGTCCTCCTCACTACCTTTTTTATAAATGGGTGCAATATTCCCTTTTGTTCAGTCACTAGAACAGCTCACAGAGTGCAGTGAGTGAATGAAAGCTATGGAGCATTCAGTAGCATTAGGAGCAGAGAAGTCAAGAGCAAGTCATAGGCATAGGAGAGAACCATACAGACTAGGTGGAGTGGGTTGGAAACCCACTGAACTTCATTCATGAAATTCAACAAGGACCAATGACAAGTCCTGCACCTAGGGAGGAAGAAACCCTGGTAACAAAACAGGCTGGGACTTTTCAGCTCTGCTGAAAAGGCCCTGGGAGCCTTGGAAGACAGCAATCTTGAACATGAGCCAGCAGTACGCCCTGCCAGCAAAGAAGATCAACAGCATCCTGGGTTGGATTAAAAGGAACATAAGCTGTAAATTGCAGGAAATTATTCTTCCTCTCAACTTAACACTTGTTAGACCACATGTAGAATATTCTGCACAGATCCCCCCATCCCCCATTAATTCAAGAAAGGCATCAACAAACTGCAGTAAGTTCATCAGAAGGCCATCGAGATGATCAGGGGACTGGAGCACTTGCCCTATGAGAAGAGGTTGAGGCAACAGGGCTTGTTCAGCCTGGAGAAGAGAAGGCTTCAAGGGGCCCTAACAACAACCTTCCAATATCCGAACCAGTTGATGTAATCTTTTGGGATTTCAGTAAAGCTTTTGATGCTGTCTCTTATAGGATCCTTCTGGACAAAATGTCCAACCCACAGCTGGATAAACACATCACAAGGTGGGTAAGCAATTGGCTCGTGGGTGGAGCACAGAGAGTAATAGTGAATGGGGTAACATCAGACTGGCGACCTGTCACTAGTGGGGTTCCGCAGGGCTCCATCTTAGGCCCCGTGCTCTTCAACACCTTTATAAATCACTTGGACGCAGGACTGTAAGGGATACTAAGCAAGTTTGCAGGAGATGCAAAACTCAGAGGAACCGTTGAGTCCCCTGAAGGCAGGGAGGCCTTGCAGGGATGCCCTGCAGAGAGACCTTGACAAATTAGAGGGTTGGGCAATCATCAACCATAGGAAGTTCAACAAGGGAGAGGGTCGGATTCTGCACCTGGGATGGGGCAACCTCGGATATATGGACAGACTGGGGAACGAGATGTTGGAAAGCAGTGCCGCGGAAAGAGACTTGGGGGTCCTGGTCAACAGCAAACTGGACATGAGTCAGCAGTGCCATGGCAGCCAGGAGGGTAATATAGGAAAGACATTAAACTATTAGTCCAAAGGAGGGCAACGAAGATGGTGAGGGCCTTGAGGGGAAGCCGTATGAGGAGCAGCTGAGGTCACTCTGTTCAGCCTGGAGAAGATGAGACTGAGGGGACACCAGAGAACCCAAGGGAATGGCCTGAAGTTGTGTCGAGGAAGGTTTAGATTAGATATTAGATCAGATATTAGAAAAAGGTTCTTAACCCAGAGGGTGGTTGGGTGCTGGAATAGGCTCCCCAGGGAAGTGGTCATTGCACCAGGTCTGACAGAGTTCAAGAAGCATTTGGACGATACTTTCAGGCACATGGTGTGACTCTTGGGAATGGTCCTGTGCAGGTCTAGGAGTTGGACTTGATGATCCTTGTGGGTCCCTTCCAACTCAGCATGTTCAGTGGGATTCTGTGAAGATGGAGCCAGGGTCCTCACAGTGGTGCATGGTGGGAGTATGAGAGCTATCGGGCATACATTGAAACAAGAAAGGTTCAGACTGGATACAAGGAAAAACTTTCATCATGAGGACTGTCAAGCATTGGAACAGGTTGCCCAGAGAAGTTATATAGACTGTCCTTGAAGATTTTCAGTACCTGACAAAAAACCCTGAGCAACCTAGTCTGACCTCATAGCTGATTTCTTTAAACAGGAGGTTGGACTAGAGACCCTCTGAGGTCCCTTCCAACCTGAATGATTCTGTGATCATGGACCACTTCCAGTCACATTAAGGGTTGGATCTGCTCAATAGGCCAGTTGTTTCTACCCTTTCCATATTTTATCTGACAGTAACTTCAAATAAGGTTGTGAGAATTTTAAAGGAAAAAAGCATGGGCATGAAGGAAATGTAGGAAATACCATAGCATCATAGCATAGCTGAGACAGCACCTCTAGAGACTGTCTAGTTGAATCCCCTCTGCTCAAGCAAGGTCCACTAGAACAAGTGCCCAGTTGTGTTTTGAGTATCTGTAAGGAGTCCTCTCTGGACAATCTGTTTCTGTATTCAACCACACCCTCACAGTAGAAAAGTTTGTTCTTACGTTTAAGTGGAATTTTCTGTGTTTCCATTGCTTCTTGTCCTGTCACCAGGCACCACTGCAAAGAACCTGGTTCCATCTTCTTTACACTCTCTCATCAACTATTTATATATATTGATGAGATCCCTTACAAACCTTCTCTTCTCTAGGATGGACAGTCCCAGGTCTCAGCCTCTCCACCTATGTCAGATGTTCCAGTCCCTGAATCATCATCTTTGTGGCCCTTCTCTGGACTCTCTCCATTATGTCCATATCTCTCTTGTACTGGGGAGCCCAGAACTGGACACAGGACTCCAGGTGCGGCCTCACCAGTGCTGAGCAGAGAGGAAGGATCACCTCCCTCAACTTGCTCTCAATACTCCTCCTAATGCAACCCAAGATACTTTTGCCTTCCTTTAAAGGTCTTCTCATTACGTTTTAAAATTCTACTGTGTGTTTTCTAGAAGGTGTTTTAATTTTTTATTGACAGCTTGCCTTTGTACCAGAAGTGAAAACTAGCACAGGTGAGAGTTCAAGTTCTCCCTCTGGAGTCTCAGTTTCAAGTAATGCAATAGGTATACCTTTATGATAGCAGTAGTTATCTGTGAAAGGAAGGCTTTACTCGTGTTTCTTATGTGTAGTTACTTGCTCATCTGCATGGATGACTATGTCGATGTTCTGTTTTACTTTTTAAATTATTACTTTAGGTTAATTTTTAAAAAATTTTTTACATTTCCTTATCTTGTAGGCATCAACCATTTTGCAGCATGTTTATAACAGAGAACTTGTCAATCAATGAAACCCTTGGAATGTTTGATGTTCTTCTTTTCATCTTTCGGAATTACTACAGGCACAGTTGATTGCACAGTCTATAGGTCAAGCATTTAGCGTGGCCTACCAGGAATTTCTGAGGGCAAATGGAATCAATCCAGAAGATCTAAGCCAGAAGGAATATAATGACTTACTCAATACCCAGGACATGTACAATGATGACCTGATTCATTTTTCCAAATCTGAAAACTGCAAAGACGTATGTGTCTGCTTTTTTTTTTTTTTTTTTTCTCCCATGGCACCATTAAACACATGTATCCTGAGTTCAGGCCTGTACTGTCAACAACTAGAAAGCTATTAGTGTTTCCAATAAATAACCTCACTGACGTAATTTCTGTCCTCCCCAGTGGGTTTATCCTGTGGTCAATTCTATTTTAAGAACAAGCAGTGAACCCTAAATTTGTCAATAGCTGAACGATTTAATGTCTCTATGCCTTCTTTTTACCAAACAATTTTCCCCTTTGATACATTACATCAGTGAAGTGAATATAAAGTAGACAGCATAAAATTTTTGGAGGCATTAAGATTGATAAGAGTGGTTGACCCTGGATTTAAAAAGGTTATATATTTGATACTGGGTTTATTAATAAAGATGAAGTAGTGTCACAATGTAACACACGGGTAATTGCTTCAGAAAACACAGTCACAATTGCTTTAAATCCCTCCCTGACTTAGTTCTGTCCACCAAAGTCCATCATGCCAGGGTTTCTTCTATACCAGCTCCCTCCAGCTGTATGAACAGATGAGTTCTATTTGGAGGGAATTTTGAATTAAACAAAATCTCTAGTTTTAACCTTATTTGCTGGTTAAAGGTATCTAAACTGTGTTAAACTATATACCCTATTGTGTTTTGCCTTTGAATAAGAAATGCATTTTGCAAATTAAAAGCCCATGTTTGTTTATATGAAAACATATGGGAGTGGGATCATCAGTTCTATAGATGAGAAAAAAACTTTTGTTTGAAACTCTCTTTCTTATGATTCAGGTTTACATTGAAAAGCAAAAGGGAGAAATTCTAGGTGTAGTGATTGTGGAATCTGGCTGGGGATCCATTTTGCCTACAGTTATCACAGCCAACATGATGCATGGAGGACCAACAGAGAAGTCTGGGAAACTAAATATAGGGGACCAGATCATGTCAATTAATGGGACCAGCTTGGTTGGCTTACCACTCTCAACATGCCAGAGCATTATAAAGGTACAGAAAATATACCTGGATATTACATGTTTTAAAACCTTTATTGGAGTAGTGGGAGGGCAAAGAATATAGAACTAGTTGTTGTTTGTTAACTCTGATCTTGTGCATTTTATAGCAGTTTCCTTTTGATGACCTTAAAGTAGAGGGAAAATTCTGTTTTACCTATTTTCTGATCCCTAAGTAGGGAACTATGCAGGACTTCGGGCCTCAAGGAAATATTTAGATCCAAAAGGAAGATGTCTGTTACTCTCTAGAGGCACCTAAACTTCATAGGACAGTGTGAGACACAGGGGTCTAAAATCTGCATTGGTGCAATTTTAGCCATTTAAATTATTCCTGTGAACTAGTTTCTAGAGAACAGAGTCATTTTTTAAAAAAAAGCTTGTTTTTTCAAAATATATTTGACAATTTTTCTAAACTTTGAATTTAAAAGAAAAAGTAAGTATTTTTATTTTCTGTAGAAACAACTTGAGTGTATTGGAAAGTATTATGTTTCTTTGAACTTGACTAAATGGTGGGATTTTTTTATTTGGAAGAACTTCCTTGTAATTGATATGAGAGTATATAAATGCAAAAAGCAGGCAAGTCAACTGGAAATGAAGAGCCTCTGGGGTAGATGCAGCATACAAGAGAAGGGGTATTTAAACATCACAGTTTCAGGAGGGGGAGAGATGCAACCTTAGAGAGCGTTGGAAATTCAGCTAAATTGTTTTCTGGGTTACCTACTGAAATAGGCAATCACCACAGAACTGCTGTATATTGTAGCATGTAAACATGCAATGTAATGTTATATATGACTATAGAAATCTTTCTATGTCTCTGCTGAGTAGTGGTGTTCTGCAGTAAAAAAATGTTTAGAAATTCACAAAATAACTCTCTCTTTGTTGCCCATGGATTCCTTTCTTAATGCTTGAACTAAAAGATTCGCTATAAAGATCTGATATTCTGGTTTCTGAAAATGTAAGCACCATGCACTGACAAGTAATATAACAAACAATATAATATTTAAACTTCATGAGGTTTTCACAGGTCTACTTCTGTAATCCACCCAAGATAGTTATAGGTCAAATAGCAAATTCCTCTTGCCATGTCCTGAAGCAGAAGCAACCATTTGAATTCTCATGTCTTCATCCTGCCAACACATCAATACCCAAAATATATTCTTTCATTGGGACAATTAACACCATTGTGGTTGTATTGGTTTTGCATGGCAGGGGTTTGGTAGTGACAGGGGGCTACAGGGGGGCTAGAGTGAGAAGCTGCTAGAAGATTTCCCTATGTCCAATAGAGCCAGTGCCAGCCAGTTCTAAGACGGACCCATCACTGGCCAAGGCTGAGCCCTTCAGCAACGGTGGCAGTGCCTCTGTGATAACATATTTAAGAAGGGAAAAAGTTTATTTGCAACAGCAACTGCAGCAGTCAGACGAGAAGAGTGAGAACATGTGAGAGAAACAACTCTGCAGACACTGAAGTCAGTGAAGAAGGGGTGGGAGGTGCTCTGGGTGCAGAGATTCCCCTGCAACCTGTGATGAAGACCATGGTGAGGCAGGCTGTCCTCCTGCAACCCATGGAGTTTATAATGTGGAACAGCTATCCACCTGCAGCCCATGGAGTACCTGACACCAGAGCACATGGATGCCTGAAGGCATAAACCATTTAAAAACTGACAGATCTATGAAGAAACTTTCCATATGTGATAGCTATTCCCTAATTGTATTATGCTAATTATGTCTTTTTCAGAAGCACCTGGTGCTAACTACTATCAGAAACAGATTCAGGGAGTGTGCAACTGTCATGTCCAGACAGCATTGACTTTTCATCCCAGCAGAACATCAGTCTCCAGTCAGTACCAAGTCTAGAGTTAGACTCAACAAAATCAGCAGCAATAAACTTCATGTAGAGACATCAGTATATTACCTTAGCTGTAATAGGAGCTATTTTTCTAAATTAAATCCTAATCTTGTTAAAGTCCACGGCAGACAACCCACTGTTTTCAATGGGACCCATATTTGACTTTGTGTTGGAATTGATAAATGGTAACATGATTAAAGGTTGAAGTTACTGCACTCTCTACATAGCATCTCTTTCCCATATGTGTTCTGCTTATTGAAGGCTAAATGTGTGTAAATGCAACATTTAAGACTAATGTCTGTTCAAATCTATATGTTGTATAGAAAAAAAAGGAATCTAACACTGGAGTTGGATTTATCTATGAGAAACAGCTCTGAACTCTTGAATATGTGTAATGGTCAGACTCTACAATTATCTCCACTTTTATGTTTGGGTTTTCCTTTTTCATTTAGTTCTTCTGGTAGCAAAGATTTAATGGTGAATGTGATAAATCCAGTTTAGAAGGGAGGGGTAATGTAAATGTGAGTATTGCTTAATACACAGACTTTACATTTGCATTACAAAATTAAATATAACTACACCAGGAAAGCCACTTATTTGTATCTATCTTAGCTGCATATTTCAAATTTCATTTCCCAACCAGAATGTTTGTCAGTTTTCTGGTCAACTGCATAGACCTGCTTTTTATTTCCTTTGCTTCATTTAGAACAATAATTTGTGTTCTCAAATGAAGAAATTGCCAACAGGAAGCTAGATTTAAAACAACCACATGAACTTCTTTACAAGAAGAGTTTTATACTGCATCATTCAATTCAGAACATCCTGTTGCCTGTGTCTGGTATTCAGGAATTCTGTTTCATAATGATATATTCAAAGAACTGCTTATTAAGGACTATTCCCATGTTAACATTCTAGGTATTGTTTTTCCTAGTGCTCATGTTAAATTACTGCATCCCATCTTTGTCAGCAGTTTTCATGGTGATTGGTTTTTTTTTTCAGGGTTTGAAAAACCAAGCCCAAATTAAACTGAATGTAGTTAGATGTCCTCCAGTAACCACGGTCTTGATCAGGAGACCTGACCTCAGATACCAGTTAGGCTTCAGTGTACAGAATGGGATTGTAAGTAGCTTCCAGACCGTCTGGTGATGCTTTTACATATGGTAAAGTTTACATATGTAATGAATTGTATTTTTTCCTTCACTGCAACAGAGTCTAGGATATCAAAGCTGAACTGGTCAAAGTTATTCATCTTTCTTTCCTAGACAAAAGTAGGAAAAGAAACTTTATTTCATAGCTTTAGAATCAATCAGAGGAGTAAAAGCAATGCTTTAGGCTGCTTTCGGTCTGTAGTATTTGTATCTCTGACTGAACCATTGTATATGACCTCAAAAGAAAGTCTGTCTCTTAATGCAAGGCTTATACACTTTGAACTTTTTGTAAACTATGAGTCTTCATACACTCTTAATTTTTCAAATAATGAAGTAACAAGAATAATACAGATAGCTTTTTGTGGATGGTTTCTTTTGGAAGAGAATGTGTAGTACTCAATTGCTAATAAATGTTACTTTGAATCAGTGATCCACTACATTTTGGACTTTGTTGCAAAAATAAATACTGAATTTAAATCAGTAAATATCGAATTATTGCTTTTGGTCAAAAGCCTCTGTTCCATGTCAAAACTGTGATAATTTTGTCCTTTCCCTTCCAGATCTGTAGCCTTATGAGAGGAGGTATAGCAGAGCGAGGAGGAGTGCGAGTTGGCCATCGTATCATTGAAATCAATGGGCAGAGTGTTGTAGCAACACCTCACGAAAAAATTGTTCGCATTCTCTCAAATGCTGTTGGTGAGGTAGGAGCAAGCAGTATGCCTAGATAGTATTGCATATTTCATCACCATTGCCTCTTTTGGGTTGTTATTGTTCAAACATAAATACTAGAAGTGAGAATAAGAACCACCAAGGTTTTTCTTATTATTGAAGTGTCCACAACTTCTAGTAAAATTGAGATGGTTGGTAGATACTCAACACCTTAGAGAATCCCTTTTCCGCAGACCTTAATATTGATATGAAAATTCTCAGGCTTTTCCTTTTCCTTCTGTCCTATGTTACCTCAACTAGTTTCCTCCCTAGTGCTCCCTAGACTATGGACACTCGTGTTTGGTAGTATGCCTAATAGGAGTATTGATTAACACATCTTATTACCTTCTAGATTCATATGAAGACCATACCAGCTGCTATGTACAGACTGTTAACTGCGCAAGAGAGACCAGTTTAAGACTGACACCTCACCTTTGCAACATGCATGAAGGATAATTTACCTCATTACTGCTTCTGTTTCTAACCCTGCATTTGTGTTTGCAGATACATTTCTCTCTCCCCAATATTTGTTGTCTGTAGAGGGGGAGGGAAAATATAGCCATGAGACTTTTTGGTTGCATCTCTGTGCAAGTAAAGTTTTATGCAACTTCACACACAGAGTGAATAGCAGTAGCAGCAGTGTCCATGCTAAGATTCACAAAAAGAAAACTTACATGCCTATGATGAATAACTGATGCTCTCAGAAAACTTACATGCCTATGATGAATGAGTAACTGATGCTCTCATAAAACCTATTGTTCAAATGCAGACCCTTTTTTTCTGTTCTTCAGGATAGTAGAACCCCAAATGGTACTCTGTGAGTTGGTACAAACAATGCAGTTTTGACATGTTTCAGCAAATAGTTCAGGAGATGGGATTTTCTGCAGTTGGGTCGCTCAGGTTTCTAATTTTTAAAATACTTCTTTTTCAAATGCAATGTGTCTTTTATATGCCCATTTCAGATGTCAAAGTTGGAGGGGAAGGAAGTGATCTCTAAATATGCAGTGAGAGTAATATTGAAGGGCTCTGCTGAGAAGCTATACATTTTAAGCTCTTAATTACAGATTTGGTGCACACAACCCTGTGCTTATTTATACTGACATTTTATAATTGTGTTTGATATTTATGAAGCTTGAAAATAATTGGTTTTTACACTGCTTTAAGTAATTATGTTACACTAAGTTTAAAAGTATTTTTTGTTGAAAGACGTAGTTTTATTGACATTTTTCTTTAGACATAGATAAATGGGAGAAGTAAAGGTAAGGTGGGGAAAATTATTTCTTAATTTTGTTATATAAGTTAATTTGTGATTTGATTTTCCATATGACACTTAGAGGATGTGTGAGCACTATATGGATTTCTATGAAGAAGAAATGTAGAGATGATTGGTCTATAACTTATATCAGGGGCAAAGGGGAAAAACAGTAAAATGATAAAGCAGCTGATGGTTCTTTTTACTGCTGTTTACACTGAATTTGAAACATATATTTAGACCAGACTGATGCCTTGAATTTCCTGAAATCAACAGTTTCTGCCATGTTTTATTGTGATCTAAAGGCTCAGTGGGATTAAAAACAAGACCAGAACACACATGGAAAAAAAAATTCCAACCTCTTCACTTGAAAATGGTGTTATGCTTATAACCATTAGTTTCTCCATTACTGTGGAATGGACTGTGCAGTGCACTGTGTTTGAAGACTAGTAATGATACCTGGACTTTATTACAGAGACTTCATGAATATGTGTGTGTACATGCACACTTCTGTTGATGAGAGCCATGAAAACTCTGTTTTTATCGGAGCATTTGGTTTCCATCTTTGGTCGGAAGTTTATTGTTGCCTTTCATGGACATACATGGGCTGAAAGGAGAGAGAAAATCAGCTTTATATTTCAGTGGGTAGTAAGGGAGATAACAGAACAGAGCATAAGCTATTGTAGTAAGTGAATACATTTTAGTTTCAAAGTAGTGTAAGATTTGATTTACTGCAATTCTTGTTGCATAATTTAATCTCAGTGTCTGGAATAGCAGATTTTGCAAGTAAATGGTATTAGTATTACAGGTTAATATTTACATCAGCTATCAGACTGACGTAAAGAGATTGTGAAAGACTTTTGATTAGAACTTTTTAATTGTAGACACCTGGTTTATGAGGATAATTTGAAATTTTTTATAACTTCTTAAAATTATAGCAATATATCAAAATATTATATATAACCATATACTATTTAGTAGGTTATATACAGTGCAGCCTTTCCAGTTGTCTGAGGAAACTCAACAATCATAAGACAGTTATCACACTTTGATTCCTACTGTGTTTTAAACTCTCAACTTCACTTGTTTTTGTGGTTCTGTCCAACTCATGTTGAGGAGTCTTCCCATTAACCTCAGTAGGAGACGAAAACCTAAACACACAAAAACCAGAATCATTAAAACCAAGGCTGTTTTCCTGTAATCAAGTATATAACTAATTATAAGCACCTGTTGACTTCATGGTGAACAGATGCTTCAAGCTAAGCGTGTGAATGCTTGTAGGATTGGAGTCTAGTGAAAAATCTTCATTGTTCCAATTAATTGTAATATGTATATAAGATTTCTATACTGGCAAGTTTCCAGTGTGCATTCCTGGTATGTCTTGTAAAAAATCCCACCATTTTAGTTTGCAAAAGTAAAGATAGTTGTGAGAAAAACGAGCTCAAAAGGAAGAGTTGGCAATTTTCTACAGTAGTGCAATAGTTTATTAGATTAGATGTGTGAATTCTCCATGGATTCAAACCAATAAACTACCATTTTACATTCTTTCTTCTGTTAAAGGTCTGAAAAGTTTTTTACCTCTTCACTATTTCATATGTTCTTATTAATGTTTCAATGTTTACATTAAGGATGAAACATCCTTTTTATTAGCAAGTTTCTCCACTTGTGTTTAATCTTGTTGTGATTTGAGATTTGGTTGGAATTTCCAGACTTTGTGTGTTTTTTCCTTAATTTTCTAAATAAAATTAGTTTCTGAAGATGACAATGTGCATGAGATCTCTTGTACATATTTTGTGCAGTGCCCGAACTCTCTTGTATTATTGTTCTGTAAAAAGGTTGAAGAGGAATTATTATATTGGGAAAAGTATAGTATTGTATTTGTAACAATATGGTTCTTTGTAAACTCTAAACTTAGTGGTTTCTCCATATATATAAATGAGCCTAGAATGTGATCCTGCACATCTGAATGTAACTCCTGATGTTTTTGTGACAGGTCTTTGACCCTTTCTCTGTAATGGAGTTGCAATGATTTCATTGGTGGGGTGGGGGGGAGCTTGGGTTGAGGGGGACTTGCCATCTATTTTGTTGTGATATATTTACTGTGCTACATTCCTTTATTTAGCAAAGCACTAATGTCTATAAGGGGGGCCAAGATGGCGGGCGGGCAGGTTGCCACGCGCTCGGCGTGCTCCTGCAGCTGCGTGGTGGGTGGTGAGGGACTCGCTCCTGCTCTCGCGGCTCGTCGTGGCCCTGCATGCATGGGAAACGCTGCCGCACCTATCTGTGCAGTCGACCTCCTGGAGAAGCCGTCGGGAGCTGTGCTTCGACGTCGGAACGGCGGAGCGGTTGGCAGATGGCCGGCGGCCATGTGGGGCCGGGCCGCGGGACCGGACCACGCCGGGTCGGACCGGGCGGGTGCAGGGAGGGGGCCGGACGGTCCCGGGGTTCCCAGACCATCGGGGGCGGGTAGATGGTCCCGTTCAGCGCGGGGGGGAGATCCCCTGGTCGAGCCGGGCCAGGTCAGACCAGGCAGGAGCAGGGGGAGGGTGGACGGACCTGGAGCTTCCCCGGGCCAACATGGGGGGGGTGGCGGGGCAGCCTCATTTGGGGGCCATGGACGGGCAGTGCAAAGGGGAGCTTGCAGTGGCACGCTGGGGGTTGAGGTTTGGGGTGGGTAGTGGGTTTATTCTGGAGGCTGGGGGGTTTTGGCTGGGCAGGGGTTGTGGAGGGTGCCCAAGCCTAGGGTGAATGCGGGGACTTCTTACACGTGTGTCCGCCCTTGCCTGGGGGTATGCCGGGATCGCTGCTCTTAAGACGTTGTCGCAGTGGGAGTGGGATATGATGGGTTTGGCTTGCTAGTGGCTTCTAGTGGCTTCTGCCCAGGAATGTGGTGTGCTTTTGTGATAGACCATGGCGGGTGGTATTGTTTATCAAACAGGATGTCCTGCTTAAATAGATAAACTAGAGCAAATGTTAAACTGCAAGGAACTATACAAATGCTGATGTAAGGTATAAGATTGCCACATGGTCAGCCCAGATAAGGAAAACAGTTGCTGACAAAACAAAAGGGCAAGAAAAGGACACCCGAGGAAGACGTCTTACTTCAGCCTCGACGACCACCGGGAGGCAGAAAAGACCCCTTAGCAACAGCCCAGACATGCGCAGAGTGCTAACGCCACGTCAAGGAAAACGGAACTAAGAGACTATAAGAAGAGACTTTCTGACACGATAAGGCGCGGCAGTTGGCGGAGCGGAGACTCCCCTGCCGTCCAGCGCTGCATTTGCTCATATTCTACTTGCTATAACCAAGTAATCAATAAATTTCAATTGGTATCTTGATCCATTGTGGTTTCAATTTATAACAATCTGGTGTTATGACTCGGATAAGGAACGGTGGGCTACGGCTCTCCGGGGAGGCGCCCCGCGCTCGTTCGCGGCCCCGTACGAGACCGACGGCTTAGTGCAACCTTACCGACGAACCTAAAAATCCGCAATATTGAGCAAAGAAAGAACCGGTCAAATCCCATAATATTCTGTGCACAGAAGTCCGGACGAAGACGCGGGACGCGTAAGTATATTGCGATTTGGTTCGCGGAGGTTGCCATTTGGGCGGGATTGGGATTCCTGGAATATAACGAGTGAGAGGCTCGATATACTGAGCCAAGTGAGTGCAGACCCTTTAGTACTGCGGTTCCTATTTCCCGCGAGGGACTGGGCCAGGAAAAAGGGGGGCGAGTGAGTGTGTGTGTGATTGCAGATATTCCAGAAGATGGGGGCGAAGGGCAGCAAGCCTTCGGCTCCCATGGGAAGGGTACCCTCTGTACCTAAGAATACCCCTCTGGCTTATATCTTAGAAAATTGGAAACACTTCCCCGGGACAGCAGGGAAAGATAAACAAAAATGATAAAATACTGTACTAAGATATGGGGAGGGAAGAAAATCTCACAGAGTGTCTTCTGGCCGGTCTATGGGTCAGAAGAAGATTGGGTGAGACAACAGTTAAATCTCTGGGTCAATAATAAAAAACCCCTTAACCCGGAGGAAAGCCAATATGCGGAAGTATGGTTAGAGAGACCGCAGGCTACATCTTCACTTTATCCATTAAATGAGCTTAAGGATAGGCGGGTAAAGAAGAAAGAGGAATTAGATGAAACTCTCTTAACCCCCCCTCCATATGTTCCACCACCTGCACCTGCCCCAGTAGCCCCTAGAGCGCCTACCCCTCCACCGGATGTGGAGCCAGACTCTCCCCCTAGACGAAGGACAAGGAGCCAAAGGGGCGCTACCCAAATGTATCCCTTGAGAGAAATGCCCATGGGAGGAGCCCAACCTACCATAGGATATATATCAGTGCCCTTGAACTCTGCAGATTTAAGGGAGTTCAAAAGAACTGAGATGGGGAATTTAATCGAAAACCCTCTTGGAGTTGCTGAAAGATTGGACCAATTTTTGGGGCCCAGCCTTTATACCTGGGATGAAATGCAATCAATCCTAGGCCAATTATTTACCACCGAGGAACGAGATATGATCAGGCGGGCTGGGATGAGACTCTGGGATGCACAACATGCCCAGGGGCCACAGGCAGATATAAAATGGCCACTTCAAAGACCTAATTGGAATAATCAAGACCCGGTCCACAGAACCCATATGCAGGATTTAAGAACGATAGTGGTCCAGGGTATCAGAGAAGCCGTGCCTCGTGGTCAGAATATTAATAAGGCATTTAACGAGATGCAAAAGAAAGATGAGAGCCCAACTGAATGGCTGGAAAGATTAAGAAAAGCACTCCAGCTGTATTCAGGTGTTAATCCCGACAACCCATTGGGACAAGCATTGTTTAAGACACAGTTTGTGGCAAAATCATGGGAAGACATTAGAAAGAAAATGAAAAGCTAGAAGACTGGCAAGATAGAGGGTTGGATGAGTTGTTGAGGGAAAGTGTATGTAAGAAGGGAAAAGGAGAGTGATAGACGACAAATAAAGATGATGGTAGCAGCAGTAAGGGAGAATCGCAAGGGGGCGCTCAAAGACCGAAAAACTTCGGGAACGAGCAAAAAGGAAGAGGTAACAAGGCGAGAACAGGGAAGTTGTTTTTATTGTGGGAAGAGAGGGCATATAAAGAAAAACTGCAGACAGCGAATTCGGGATGAAGAAGTTTTAAGAACAGAATAGGATAGTCAGGGGCTCTATATTCTAGGGGATCGTGACCACCCTGAGCCCTTGATAAAACTAAAAATAGGTCCCCATAGACAGGAGTTCACCTTTTTGGTTGATACAGGGGCCGAAAGGTCAACAATTAGACAAATCCCTGATGGCTATAATGTGTCCTCAGAAAAAGTACAAGTAATTGGAGCAAAAGGGGAACCATTTAGGGTAAGTAAAATTAAGAACGTAATATTTGAAACTGAAAATAAATTTGGTATAGGTGACCTCCTGCTTGTCCCAGAAGCAGAATATAATTTGCTGGGACGAGATTTAATTGTGGAATTACAATTGGAAATCAGAGTCCAGAATCAGGAATTAAGAATATCGGCTTATCCTTTGACAATTGAAGATGAAAAACAAATAGACCCAAACGTTTGGTATTCCCCTGACACTATCAGCAAATTGAACATTTCCCCGATTGAAATTCAGATTGTGGACCCCCAAATACCAGTAAGAATAAAACAGTATCCGATATCTTTGGAGGGGAGAAGGGGTTTAAAGCCGGAGGTGGATAGGCTATTAGCGCAAGGAATACTAGAACCTTGTATGTCACCCTTCAATACCCCTATTTTGCCTGTAAAGAAACCAAATGGAAAATATAGACTGGTGCATGATTTAAGGGAAATAAACAAAAGAACCATTACTCGGTTCCCGGTGGTAGCTAATCCTTACACCCTACTAAGTAAACTAGGGCTACATAATTCTTGGTATAGTGTAATTGACTTAAAAGATGCTTTTTGGGCTTGTCCCTTAGCAGAACAAAGTAGAAATTACTTTGCTTTTGAATGGGAAGACCCCGAAACAAATAGAAAACAACAATTGAGGTGGACCGTATTACCACAGGGGTTTACGGAATCCCCTAATTTATTTGGGCAAGCGTTAGAGGAATTATTAAAGGAGTTCCAAGTACAACAGGGGAACGTTTTGTTACAATATGTGGACGACCTGTTGATTGCAGGGGAAACCGAAGAGAAAGTAAAAGTAGAAAGTATAAACCTTTTGAACTTTCTCGCAAGCAAGGGCCTAAGAGTCTCACAGGAAAAACTGCAGTTTGTGGAAAGAAAGGTCAAATATTTAGGCCATTATTTGTTTAATGGGAAGAAAATATTAGACCCTGAACGAATTAAGGGTATTATGAAATTACAGATCCCGAAAACAAAACGGCAAATTCGGCAAGTATTAGGATTATTTGGATACTGTAGACAATGGATAGAAAATTATAGTTACAAAGTAAAGTTTTTATATGAACAACTAACCAGGGAGGGGTTCCCCAAGTGGACCCCTGAGGAGCAGGAGCGATTCGAAACCCTAAAGGTTGAATTGAGCCAGGCTCCTGTTTTAAGTTTACCAGATCTAAAAAGACCCTTTCATTTGTTTGTAAATATACATGAAGGAACAGTTTTTGGGGTACTCACTCAGGAGTGGGCTGGACAGAAGAAACCCATAGCGTACCTCTCTAAGATGTTAGATCCTGTCAGCAGAGGCTGGCCGAGTTGTTTACAAATAATAGTAGCTGTTGCATTGTTACTTGAAGAAACAAACTGTATTACCTTTAGTGGGGACATAGTCCTATATGCACCTCATAATATTAGAGGGGTTTTACAACAAAAGGCAGAGAAGTGGTTAACAGATAGCCGGCTTTTAAAATATGAAGGAATATTAATTGAGTCTCCTAAACTAACATTGAAATCCACTGGAGCAGTTAATCCGGCCGAATTTCTGTATTCAGGGGAACCCTCACCCCTTATACATAATTGTTTTCAAGCTA